ATAAATAAATGTTAAAAAAAAAAAATTAAAAAAAAAAAAGAAAATGGGGGAGCTGGGACGTGACCCAGGTCTGACTTAGGGCCAGAGTCCCGACTCCTGGGTCCCCACGCTTCCCTACTAGAACCAGGCAGGAAGTCAGCAGGAAGAACCACAGCGTGGATGGCCAAGGGAAGTCCAAGGAGGGAGTTGGGCCCAAGGGCAGGGCCGAGCAGGCAGCTGAGCCCAGATCCCACCCAGTCCCTCTCAATCCCACTCAAAGATGTCCCCACTGCCACCTCGTCGAACCAGGCCCCCGTGTGCAGCTCCAGGGCTCTGCTCCAGAACGTGCTGACAAAATCACTTCTCTGCCACAACTCCCCAGCCATGTGACCTGAGGAAGTGACTCCACCTCGGGAAGCCTCAGTTTCCCAGTCTGCAAACGCATCAAGTGTGGTTCCAACCCCACAGCACTATGGCAAGGCACTGAGAGATCAAGGACAGAAAAGGCTTAGCAAGGAGCCCAGAACATGGCAACACAGAGGGAGAGGACGAGACAGTGGTGGGGAGTGGGGGTGCACACCCCCCCCCCGCTCTTTTCTTCAGAGATTTGTTTTTTAATTCGGATGTAATTCACATGCTCTGAGGTTCACCGTTGCGAAGTATACAATTCAGTGGTTTTTAGCATCTTCTCAGGGTTGTGCAACCATCACCACTTGTGATTCCACAACATTCTCATCACCCCAAACAGAAACCCCACGCTCCTTGGCCGTCATCTCCAAACCCCATCCCCCACCCCAGCTGGAGAAAACACTAATCTGCTTTCTGGCTCCGTGGATTTGCCTGTTCTGGACATTTCCTACCGGTGAAATCATTCAACACGGGGCCTCTAGTCTGGCTTCCTTCACCGAACATGTTTTCAAGGCGCATCCAGGCTGTTGCAGGTGCCAGCGCTTTGTTCCTTTTGATGGCTGAGTGGTACTCCACCGTGTGGACGGACCACATTCCACGGATCTGCTCATCTGCTGCCAGACACTGGGGCTGTTTCCACGTCTCTGCTCCCGTGGGTAGTTTATGGGTAGACACGGGTTTCAGTTCTCTTGAACAGACATCCAGGAGCAGAAATGCTGGCTCCTACCGTGACTCCACATTTAATCTTTCCAGGAGCTGGCAGATGGCTCTCCGATGTGCCGCCCCGTTTTACGCCCGCCCGTGGTGCGTGAGGGTTCCAGCTTCTGCACGTCCTCACCAACACGTGCTATGACCCGTCTTTGGTGATAGACCTCTCACTGCGGTTTGATCTGGGTTTCCTTGAAAGCCGGATGCTGAGCATCTTTTCACGTGCTCACTGGCCACCCACGTCTTTATTGGAGACAACGTCTGTTCAGATCCTTCACCCATTTTCACTTGGGCCGTGTATCTCATCAGCATCGACCGTGTGTAAGACGCCCTTCATTTACGTCCTGGCCGCAGACGCCCATCACAGAAACGGCCTGCACATGCTCGCCCCTGCAGGTGGGCCCATCCCCAGAGGCGGCCGCCCTCACGGCTCCCAGGCGCCGCTGGGCTCCCGAGGGTTGGCTGCTGGCGCTGCGGGCGTTCCGGTGTCGGTCCCTTATACCCAAGTGTGCACACGCAGCCACGGCCTCCCCACTCGCCCTCCCGCCCAGTTGGGGGCCAACCGCACCCAGAAGCTGGCAGGTGCCCTCCTGTCTACAGCTCTGGCAACTCAGCCTTCCGTGTCCCACTGGGAAACCACCGCTACACGTGCGTTTCTGATTTCCAAGTGCAGGCCGGCCACACCGTGCAGCTCGGGGAACGTGAGGGGAGAGCAGCTGGGCACGCGGGAGGCGCCAATCCTCCGGAGACCCATCTCCACGCAGCAGCCAGTGTCCCCTGCCACTTCTATCGGGGACCTTTCAATGCCACCCTCCCCGCCTGCTTCTCCCACGCCTCCGTCACCTCGAGCCTCAGAGACCCCTCCAGGCTGTCCCCGTCTGGCACGCACTCCCTCAGACCTTGCAGCGTCACCTACACCGGGGGTCCGTCCAGGCAGCGCCTCAGAAGCAGCCCACTCCCCGCATCTGTGTCTTCGGTTTAACATGGGCTTGACCGTAATAACCGAGCCTCACAGACTCTAGGCACGGGGTGCAGCACACAGCAGCCAGGCTCTCCGTCTGATGACGAGGGCTCAGGGAGGGGACCCTCTGTGGCCAGGCCAGTCCTCAAGGCAGCAACACACGCGGCACGTACAGCCGGACGCGTTACGCACACAACGGGCCCAACGGCCACAGATGCCACCTCCCCTCACGCCCGTGTGCCACGCAGATGCTGGGGGCCCAGCCTCCCTGGTCTCCCTCGCTCCCTCCTGTCATTTAGGGGTGAGGCCCTAAGTACCCCCAGGTGACAAAAGACCCTAAGGTCCTGATATTTGCCTCCACGAACCAAGTCCCCACCGAGTTCCTGCTCCAAACCTAGTCCTACAGACCACCGACGGAAACCAACAGCACACATCCCGAGAAGGGGGTGGCCGACAACAGCCAGCCACACGTGACACTGATCGACAGACCACAGCTGGAGGAGCACCGTCACATCCAGACCTCTCTCCTGTGACCAACATTCTACCTCCGTGCTGTCCTGTGCCACGCAGTAGCCACTGGCCACAAGTGCCTCCAGGGTACTTGAAATGTGGCTTGCCACACAACACAGCTCTGGACTGTCAAACTACAGGAAACGGAGGGCAGCGGGACAAACCAGATGTCGCCATGGTGATGGCAGAGGTGCAGTTCAAGCCCAGACCCCAGTCGGGGCCGCTTTCAACAAGCAGCATGAGGAAGGAAAGAGATGTGGGAAAACGGATACCTCGTCAGAAGACAGAGCACAGTAATTGCACTGTGTGGACCATATCTGGATCCTAATTCAAAGTACTCAAAAAACAGAGACAATCCAAAACCTAAACACGCTGGACACATACTGAGATCAGGGAATCACCCACTGTCTTAGGGGAGACCACGGTGTGGCCATCCACTCCAAAATGCTTATACATCAAAGAACGAGAGAGCTGGAATTTGGTTCAAAAACGGAGGTAGGAGTGTGGAGGGCAGGGCAGAGGGCAACGGGTCCATGAGGTTCAGCACAAAACTTTGCGTACTTCTGTGCATGTTCCAATGGTACACGATGAAGCTTTAAAAACAGCAACCCTTTGCTAGTGACGTCACCTCTCTCAGGCCACCTAACCAGCAGCACCATCTCACCCAGGAAAGGCTCAGTTTCAGAAGCCCAGGCCATCCTGCATGCTGAGGCGCTGAGGCCCCGAGTCCCCTGTGGGCCAGCCTTGGTCCCTATACCCGTCTGGCCCTGGGGCACCTCAAGCTATATGAGGAGTCTCATGGAGGGGTGGCCACGGGACTGATGACACAGGTACCAGGCCTGAACCGCTGGCGGCACCCAGAAAGCAGGGCTGCTGGGGCCCCTGGGCACGCACACCCTTACCCAGCAGGCTCCCTGCCCTCTCTGAGCTTGGTCCCTCTCCCTTGGAGAGGAGAAGACTCCCCTATCTCCCTCTCCCTGAGCACAGGGCTTGCAGGGTTGACAGGCTGCTGGGGCAGCCAACAGAGCCCAGATGGTGGTCTGGGGAACCAGTGGGGAGCCCGATCTCCCTCAGTTCCTGGCCCCCAGCCTCCAGAAATCTCCCAGAGGCAGCTTCGGGGTGTAAAGGACAGTGTGGGGTAGCCTCTGATCCCCATCTACCTACTTCTCAGGGTCCCATCGCAAGCTCAGCGGGTCCGGCAACCTGGGAATCCTGTCCTGTCAGGCTGGGCCAGCCCGCCAGTTCCCAAGACCAGAGCCTAAGGGGACACACACGAATCAACAGTCCTGGGCTCCATCACTGTGCTCAAGAGGCTCCAGAGCCTGCGCCCCGCTGCAGGCCCCCCAGTGACCCACCTCTACAGTTGATTTCCTGCACAGCTCCTGGAGGCCAGCTCAGCACCAGGTGCTGGGGAAGCAGGGGAACCAGAGAAGAACCAGAAGGAGCCAGGCCTGACCTCAGCAGCTCCCAGCCAACCAGAGACGGGTAACTTCACTCACAGCATCCAGAAGCAGGTGGGGTGCATCGGAAGCGATTATACAGGGGCTGGTGCAGGCGACACGCCCATCTCCCACCTCAGAGACAGCTGGGATGGCAACTTAGGCTTAAGTGACCAGGTGGCTGAGCGACAGGCTCCCACCTGACCCTGGAGAACCCCCAATTCCACCCGACAAAGCCCCAAGGACATCCAGACCACCCAGGAGAAGTACCCATCCCTACCTTCACCCAACCTACCCGCCAACATCCAAACTCATCTCAACACTGGCCACAGGTCCCCTAATTAAAGGGGCCCACACACTGGAGGCGCCCAGGGAATGTTACAGAACCAAATTCCAGGACCCATCCCCGGGGTGGGATAGTCTGAGGACACTAAACGCTCCCCAGAGGATTCCAGCATGTGGCCAAAGACAGACGGGACTCCCAGCTCAGGTGCCTGAAAGTGCCCAAGACATCCACACAGGGCCACAGGAATGCGGATCAGCAGGCCCCGAGCCTGTCCCCTAGCCAGGGGACAACGGTCTGCAAATCCTGGCCCCCTGCACCCTCCCCATTCCAACTCCGGGTCCGGAGCACCTCAGGCAAACTGGGCCCTGCCATGTGCTGGCCGCTACTTGTTCTTGGGCAAATCACACCATCCGAGTCCAAGTGGAAACCTGACAACAGCTCTTCGCATTTTAAACCAGTCCTGGCAACTCCACCTACCCATTGTCCCCAGGATAACATAGGAGCCCTAGACACGAGGGGCATAAGGTCCATTAAGAGCGCAGCCCACCTCTCGTCCGGCCCCGCTCCCTCAAAATGCCCCTGCAGTTGCCACAGTGGGGTGTACCCTACACCCACACATGGCCAAATGCAGCCTCCAAGCCTTGCACACACCGCTCCCTCCTCCCCGCCTCCCGCAGCCTCCAGACTCCTCCTTCAGCATCAGGCCAATTCTTACACATCCTTCAAATCTCTGTCCAGACACCTCTTCCAGGAAGCCTGGCCCGCCATCCCAGACAGAGCTCTCTCCCTCCTGGTTTCCTGCTGCAGAGGTCCCAGGTGCAGAGCGTTCCCCCCAGGCTGCGTTCTATTAGCCTCTAAGTAGCGTCTAACAGTTTGCGGGTTCCCTTCAGACGCCTCCCACGCAGCCCCCGCGCGCTGCCGCGGGTTCCCCCTTAACTCGCGATTGCGGAGCCCCACCAGGTGGGATACTTCTGCTTTCAGAGAAACCGGGATGTTTCTGCTGCGCCCTGGCCCAGGCCAGGGGGGCTGAGGACCGGGTTTTCCTTATTTAGTCGGGCCGACCTCACTGCGTTTGGAGCCTCGCCCTGGGAGAGGCCTGGCCCGCACTGCGTTTCCCCTTCAGAGGCCGGGGACGCGCCCACGCCCTGCGAGGCCCGCCAGGCCGGCGGCCTGCCCGGCCCGGCCTCTCCCCGGAGCCGAGGGTGCAGGCGCGCCGAGGCCGCCCCACGCCCCGGGCGCCCCCGAGTCCCGGCGC